GAAAACTGTACTGAATGATCCGTTGAGGTTCAAAGTCGACGACTGCCAGAAAGACAAGACAGATGCAACTGAAAAACGCATCACAAACGTACTGAGAGATCTTCTAAAGAAGGATTTGACTGACAACAACGCGTACACTGAATTGAAACCCCGAGGGTCCCGCTTGCCATATATGTATGGCCTTCCAAAGACACACAAAAAAGAAGTCCCTCTGAGACCTATACTTTCGATGATCATCTCTCCCCAACATAAGGTTGCCCGTTGGATTGCGGAGAAGTTGGAACCGATTCGCCAAAGGCTAGCCGCACATACCATAAAAGACTCATTTGATTTTGCCGAAAGCGTGAATCACATGAACGTTTCAAATAAGTTCATGGCTTCATTTGATCCAACCTTCTTGCTCACAATGATCACAATCAATGAAACCATTGAGATCATTTGTCAACAGTCTGATCTTCTCCCACTACCAGAGCCGGAATTCAAACGTCTACTGCTAATGTGTACCATGGGTGTACAATTCCAGTTTGACAACACTCTTTACCGACAAACAGATGGTGTAGCTATGGGCAGTCCACTTAGCCCTGTTTTAGCAGATATGTAGGTGACTAATATTAGAGTTCACTAACATTACAAATATAAAAATAATAATCCAAGTCAATGTAGTGTTAAATCACAATATATTACCAAAAATGCAGTGACGAGTTATATCAACAAAAAGGATTACTTGGATATAAAGTCTAAGTCCTCTGCTACAAATTATTTATATAATCCACGGGAACGTTAATTGTTTGGACTGCGTCTGCTGTAGCTGCTGTGTTCCGGTTGTAGAAATGTCTTCGGTTGAGGGTAGTAGACTCCTACAATAAATCCGAAGTATACAACACGGTGTGAGTCGAGCAAGTAGGCAGAAATAACCAGGGAGAAGACGAAGTCTCCAACAGCAGAGTGTATTTTTCAATTGTACACGGAAGTTATGTATATTTCAACAAGAAGCGTTTTAAACAAAAATTATGTACAATATCTCTAATTTCTACAAATAACCAAAGAGTGTACAATCACACTGTTACGTACTCCACAGATATCTTTATATCAAACCTTGACAAAAATAAGTTGAAGCATGCAATTGATCAAACAACTTCCTATTATCGTTATGTCAATGACACATTTGTAGTATGCAACAACGAAAGTCATGCCTCCTACCTACTCAGACTATTCAACAACGCACATACAAATATTGCATTTACTATGGAACATGAAAATGATGGAAAGTTCCATTTCCTTGACGTCGCCATGCAAAGCCTAGAAGATGGTAGTCTCCAGAGGTCAATCTACCGAAAGCCCACATGGAATGGACAATACTTACATTTTAATAGTTTTTTGTCCAAATAGCTATAAACGAGCACTAGTCAAGACTCTGTACTATAGAGCGACGAGAGTATTCTCTGCAGAGAAACTAGAAGAAGATGTGAAAGCCCAAACACCAAACAAATCACAGCTGAAAAAAAGCCTGTCTTCATTCAACTAGATTTCAAAGGTGAAGACATTACAGAAATGGTCAACAGAAGACTGCAGTCAGAGCCTATGCTGCAGCTAAGTTGGTTCCCGTCCATCGAACAACATGCTCTTTGGTGCAGTCAAAAGTAGATAGATACCCTTCTCATGTTAACTCCAACTGTGTATACAAATTTACGTGTATCTGCAGGAGCAATTACATTGGGAGAACAGAAAGAAGGACACACCTCCGATTTTCTGAACATGTGCCGAAAAGCCTAAGCCTCAAGGGGACAAACTTTTATAGTAGCGCTATTACCAGACGTCTACTCGACACGGGTCATGAGGTGGAAATCGAGAAATCCTTCAAAATTATCAATAAACAAAGGAGCTCCATTCTCCTCGAGTTCGCCGAAGCAATTTCTATCAAACGCTTGAAACCAGATTTATGTGTTCAGAAAGAAGCAGTTATTAGTCTTCCCTTGCCTTGGTAACTATATGCCTTTTTCTCTCTCATCTGATTACGTAATCTTTGTCCTTAACCTCACCCTCCTTTTATAATCTGTAATTTTCCTTGTCTCTTGTTTCCATGATTTGGGTTCAACTCAGTACATTATTACCAAACTTATTGGTCACTATGCATCTAACTCACATCTCATCTTTATTATGTATCTCCTTTGCCATTTTATGCATACATTTATTTTGTTTCAACTTGAACTGCCTGTGTGAAAACCATATAAGCGCAATTTTCTGATCACTGTTTACTAATTTTGGAACTTTCTGTCAACTGACAACATGTAAAATTTGCAAGCATGCTAAAACATGTCTGTACTTAAACCTAATAATTTATTTAGGCTGTCAGCAGCTGATAAGAAGCCAACGAAATAAATGATGGTACCACATTATTCTGCACAAACCACTGTTGTTCTTGCTTTGTTCAAAATCAGTTTTTATCAAAACTGAAGGCCAATTAAGGTGCAAAAGTTGACAAAAAGGATTTTAGAATAATTTACACAACTCTTGTTTATCTAATCAGATAAATATTACCAAGGTAGGTTAACAGTAATGATAGATTGTTTTTGAGCACATTGGGTGGGGGGCTTAATTTTATGAATTGCTATCCCCTCAGAGTATTTCAATAAACGCCCTTGACCGTTTTTAAAAATAACCTTCAAAGCTATTTGACATCACTCTTGTGGTTTATATAGATTAGATGTTTAGCTATAGACGAAATTGTTAGTCTGCCACCTGCGTCTGTTGATTTTCCAAAGTTTATCTATTTTTCTAACCATTTTGAAATATGTCCTTCCACCTCCATATGCAAAGCGCTACTTCTTCTCCCCATTTTGGTGTGTCCACACACGCACACACACGTAAGTTTGTATATAGTATGGATGTGACATAATCGCTTGTGCAATTTTGACATTTGAGTAGGAGCATACTTTGACTTTTTTTAATAACTAAGAACTGAGCCGTATAATAGGTTCTGTGGATGGCCGAGTTTAACCTAGGAATCAAAATACTTTCTATAGTTTGGTTTGTAAGGGTTAGTTATGTTTTTACGAGTTGATGACGGATTGATATCAGTTCGAGAACCATTGAAAACCAGGGAGTACTGGACAGCCACTGTTTCATCCTAGTTTGGGAATCATCGGCAGTAGGCACCCACTGGGATTCGAACCCAGGACCTTCCGGTTACAAGGCAAGCTTGTATACCATTGAGCCACTGGGACCCGATTCAATGGCTCGTGAATCCTAACTTCTACCAATTCGTGATTTAGCACGATCCCAACCATTGTCGTTGGTGGGACATCCATCCACACACGTGACATCTAATTGGACCTCACTGGTCACGACTTCTCACTAGAACTCAGGAAAAATCAAAATACTACTACTTACTTTCCTGTTGTGTGATAATTTAATGAAAGCATCTTTCTTAGGGAAAGAATCGATTGTAGGTTTTGAAACTAACTGACCTCTATACAGGTTTAAAAATTTTAAAGCATATCTGTTTTCAAAAACAGCATCCATCAGTATTTCATTTTGAATCCTCTATAACACCATCTGTACAAATACTCTGAATTTTCTTGGACAAACACTTCGCCAAGCCACTCTCTTACTGTAGCGAGCAGAAGCTGTGAAAATTAAAGTATTGCCCTGTCCAAGTAGGCTTTCTGTAACTTAATCGTTTCATTGAACCATGTTCTCCCCAACTTAGAAGTGTGTCTGAAAATGCAAGCTGGTTGCGACTTTCTTCCTCGCATGTAAGACTTATATGATTCTGTACAGAGTTAAGTTCATTCAGTAAGCGACTCGTATCTTCATGGTCCTCGCATACCATTTTGTTGACTCTATGTATATTTTAAACTGTTCACAGTTGAAGAGAATCCCCGAAACTATATATGCAGACTTCATGCATCAAGGTTTTCTTCTTCATGTTTAGAATAAAACATTGGTGAGGTAAGTTTTCACACACTTATGATTTGTACTCATAAATATATAGTTCATTTTTTTGTTCATTCACTTTTGTGTATTCAGAATTATATTCCAGGTTGTTGACAGTTGTACTGAGTCACCTTTGTTACATGTATCCGGTGTGACCTTAATGAATATAGATTCTGTTATAAGTCTCTTTTTCCATTTGTTCATATTAGTTTTTAGAATACAAACATTGTTCAATCGATAGTGTGGTTTTTGTCCCATGTATGTGCAGCTATAGATGAACTTTTTTCTAAATTCTTGTAAGCTTGTGTTCCTGTTGGTTGACCTTTAGTTAGGCGTTTATGTTCATTCACTCTTATTTTGAGTGATCTGAACGTTTGACCCACATATTTAGTCGGACACTCGGCGCAAGATATTTTGTAAGTCACATTGTTTTTATTCATTATTTTTTATGGGATCTTTCAACTGATTTGTGTTATTGAATTGAATTTTGATTTTCCCGTCGATTGATTGGACCGAAGTGCTCGGTCTCAGGTTGACATGTCGGCTTCTTGTGCAGATGCTTCGACGATGTCTGGGTATTTAATTAGTATACAATTGGTGGATGGTGGCTAGCAGTGGAATCCAGGATGCGCATTTCGTCCTATTTGGGACTCGTCAGCTGGATGTACCTGCATTTCTCAGTGAGTGATGATGTTCCCACCGAGGCTCGAACCCAGTACCCATAGTCTAGTGGATAACGCTTTGGCGTTTGAAACTATGGGTACTGGGTTCGAGCCTCGGTGGGAACATCATCACTCACTGAGAAATGCAGGTACATCCAGCTGACGAGTCCCAAATAGGACGAAATGCGCATCCTGGATTCCACTGCTAGCCACCATCCACCAATTGTATACTGATTTGTGTTATTGTTAATTAGATTCGTCGGTCTGAATGTCGCGGTAGTCCCAACATTTTTGAGGTTTTTTTTTATTGCCTGTGATGTACCGCTTTTGTATGGTATTGTGACTTTTTTGCATTCTTCCGTCTTGTCATTCTCCAGTTTTTCCCTCTTTTTTCCCAAGCAGTGAGGGGACTGCTGAGTAACACAGTACACCAGATCCTCGAGCGAGAAACGATTAGTTGGATGTTCGAGAGTGGCATGGAGGAGATCGCATGAGAAGGAGATGAAAGCTTATGGGCAAATGTGAAAATAGAAGATGACTGTAGAGAACCGAACAAAATGAAGATGTTCTGTTGGAACCCTATGTTACACTCGAAACCAAAAGGAATAATAATAATATAATAGAATAGAGACATTGACCTGGATCTAACTGGAAAGTAGGTTTTTCTTTATTCAATTTATTGTCTTCTAAATTTCTAAATAGGGATTTTCACTACAATGAAAACAGAATAATGCAGTTTAGGAAATATTCTAAAAGATTTCATACAAGCACTGGGCCTTGGAGATTAACTTAAGCAAGAGTGTAGTTATGCATGTATCCCATAGTCACGTGCACAATTACTCAATGAATGGCATTACTCTCCCAGTGGTCACTGAGTACAAGGACTTGGGAGTGGTTGTGCAGCATGACTTGAAAACAGCAACAAACTGTAGAACTGCAGCCACTAAGGGTTTTCGAATGTTATGGGCCATACGCAAGGCTTTTGCGAACTTTGACGCTGATATATTTCGTATATTATATCCGACTTATATCAGACCTCATTTGGAATATGGGATCCAGGCAGCGAGCCCGTGTTTCAAATAAGAAATAGACTTATTAGAAAGGGTGCAAAGAGTAGGAACTAAGCTAATAAAGGGTTTCTCAACCCTGTCATATAAGGAGAGGTTAAGTCGACTGGGTTTATTTCCACTGTCATACAGACGACTAAGGGGTGATCTAATACTAGCATACCGTATCCTAAGAAATGATTTTGGAGCTAATTTATCTAAATTATTTCTTCCTTCTAGCACCAACCAATTGCGAGGACATCACCTCAAGGTTCAAAAACCACGGTCGAATCGTCTACGTCTGGAGATCCGATTTTCGCATCGAATTGTGAACCATTGGAACTCCCTACCGGAACACGTCGTATCAGCGCCATCCGTTGATTCATTCAAGGCGAGATTGGACCTCCTGTATGCAATAAATCGAAAGGATTAACACAGGCATATAGCCTACTATCCTAAATAAATTGTAAACTGCAAACTGTATTTAGAAATACAAGAACCTCAAAATAAACGTGTCCATTTCAGTTTGTGCATATTCTACAGGCTTTTCTTTCTTCAGAATTTCAGTTTCTCTTGGGATGAATTTCGAAAATTATGTTTTATTGGTACTTTACAGAGACACCAAATATGAGTTAAACAAGCAACTCGAAATTGTTTCACCTTAGTCAAATTTCTCGATTTAAAATTGTTTTGACTAGTTATTTTTCGCCATGTAGATAACTTTAAAGGGAGAGGATGTAGAAATAAGGTGACCGGTGTCAAATAGAGGTGTCACTTATTGTGCTTCTTATAGCCCAACTTACACCTCTTAGAAACCATACAGAATGTTATGTGTATACAATAGACAATAACAACCAGTGTTCTTGTGTGTGTGTGTGTGTGTATGTAACAATTTGGCAGTGATTGGAAGTACTGAAGTGCGATAATATTGGTGTATATGATTATGAGTCACTGTTAATTAAATACATCAGTGAATAACTAAATAAATAGAGGTTTTATGTTCACCACTAACTAACATCCTAAATGCTTCTTTCTCCGAAAACGTTGTACCTGTTCCATGGAAAGACATTAAAATAGTCCCTGTCCCTAAACCTGGAAATAGCAAGAACTTAAAGTTCAGACCCATTGCCATCACTTCCCCGTTTCTAAAGCTTATGGAAAAACTAGTACTTCTTAAACTTGAACCCTCCCTTAAAAGCTTTGAAGACCCCAAACAATTTGCCTATAGACAGGGTAGGAACACTTTAGACGCTGCAGCCGTCTTACACAACAGTATGGTCTCATCATTAGATAAAGGTGTCAAACATGTCCTCTGCATGTCTCTCGACTTCACTTCTGCTTTCGACTCTGTACCTAGATATCTCTTGCTACATAAGCTCTCGATGACACAAACTGAGTCCTGGGTCACTAACTGGTTGCATTCCTACTTCTCTAACAGAATGCAGTATACCGTATACAAAGGCGAATCCTCCTCTGCTGTGCTCACTGAAGCTGATGTCCCCCAAGGTGCTGTACTCTCCCCACTTCTCTTTTCTTTCTCTCTACATCACTTACCATCTTCAAAAGACATAAATTTTGTCAAATATGCTGACGGCCTGACTGTATCTTTGCCTGTCATATGTCAAAGTGACTGCTATAAAATAAATGGCTTTTTATCAGAAATCAGCCAATGGTCCGAGAAAAACGGTCTTACCTTAAACCCCTGCAAATGCCAAACAGTCAATTTCATCTTTAGGCATAAATCTGAACTAAACAAACTGGTTAGCACTCATGAGGTGTGCAACATAGATGGAACAGCGGTTAGGACTCTCGCCGACCATGCACATGGTCCGGGGTTCGAGCCCACGCCGGCGCACATCTGATATCTATGATCGGCCTGCTAAATTTGGGCTACCGATATCCATGCTGAAAATTCCATACTTGTACCAAAAATACAGTGTGGAATCAAGCTGTAAATCTAAGAAAAAACCAAGTCAGAAATTAAATATCTTGGCGTCATTCTATCTCCTGATCTTTCCTGGTCGTCTCATATCTTGATGATTTCTGAGAAAATATTCCGTCTTACCTTCTACATCAATAAGTTGAGACATTCTGGTATAACCCAACCATTACTCCTACAATTCGTTAACTCTTACATTCTGCCTATTATTCTCTATTGTTCCCCCTTGGTGTTTCCTGGGCTGCTGAAGAAAGACTATACCTTATTACTCAGGATTTTAAAGGTTGTCAGTAGGGTAAGCTACGTGCCACTTAACCAGCTTGTTAATATTCTAGTTGACAGGCACATGGACTCATGTGAAAAATGGGCTAAATCCATTTTGTCTAACTCACACCACCCTCTTCATTCACAACTCTCCCCGTGTATCTCTTCAGGGAAAACCAGAAGCCTCTATAGGAAACTATATGCTCACACTAGTAAGTACAATAAACTCAACCATATCCTAGTTGGCTCGTGTTCTATGAAACAAAGAAAGCATTAGGCATGAAACTTATAACTTGTTAAATAGTCAGTAGAACAACTGGATCTCGTCTTTCCAACTCATATCATTTATAAGTACAATGTTTTCTTTCTTTTTTCCTCTTCTCTCTCTCTTCCTCTTTTTTTCTGTTATGTGCTGCTTTGTTTCTTTCTTCCGCTTACGCCAGTAGATATGCTAGCATCTACTTTTCTACCACCTTCAAACACTCTGTTTAATTTTGGCTTTGCTACCGACATGCCAATATGTTGTTGTCATAATGAACTGAGATTATCCTTAATCTATGTAGAATTTTATTTATTTTTAATGTACTAACTGGATGCAATATTGTAGTGAAATGTTGAGAATTCCATTATGTATCACAAGTACTGTTTTGGAATAAAGCAAATTAATACTATTATTATTGTTATTATTAGAGGTCAACCTAAAGTTCAACAAACATATGTGAAGTAGATGATAGGAAAATAAAGTACATTTGTAAATGTGAATATGTGAATATAATATGGTGGTGACATAAGATGAGTGAACTGCTGACAAACAAAAATGGAACGTGGAATATAGAAGGATAACAAAGTTTTTATGTGAAATACATAGTAAAATCAAGACGAAAGAAATAGTACAAACCGTTTATGTACACAAAGTTCTGGCTTTACGTTATGTATTTTCAAAGCCAGCATGTGCACTTTCGGCAAACTTTGTAGACTATATTAAACGATGTGTCAGATGCTGCGTGATCAGTATCTACTATATGTTGCAATATGAGTGACTTAATACCTCTACACTCTCCTTTATTCAACCAAGTTGGAAGGTGCTCTTCAACGCAGCGAGCTGAGCAAAGGAGGTTATAGAGATATTACGTCATCCATATTGCAACATATTATAGATACTAACCACTCAACATCTGACACATCGTTTAATATAGTCTACAAAGAACAAGAAATAAATTACTTAAAGATTCATTAAACTATGGAGAAGTTAGCGAATCTGCAGGCGTAATAATTATTTCAATGTAGAGAAGTGATCTACTGACCAATGTAAATTACTGGTGAGGATTGAAAATGAAGTGTGATCACTTCAGGATTCTAACTAGTAGTAGTCTCTCGATAATAAGCCAAGCAAATGCACAATGTAAAAACAATAAACACCCTGAAATGATTACAGAAACCAAATTGAAAGTAATGAAGGTGAAACTATAAAAGTCTTACTAAGACTACAATCAAATCTGGAGTGGAATGTTTTATTGCTGTATTCAGAAATTAGGCTTGAACCGATGGACTAACAGAATCCTTGTTGTGCATAAGTTTTAAGGTAACAATTTTTCCAAATTGCAAAAATAAATTGTGTATAGCTTTAAAAGTTTTTAAAGGCGCAAAGTGCACCTATGTTAGTATACAGAAACGGCGATTGACTTACATCTCCAGTGACAGTTATATATCAACATACTATTATTACATTCTCACGGAATTATAAAAGTTAATTTCATATAGTAGTTGGTGTTGAATGTATCGTCTACCAAGACAACCAAAGTCTGAAATCTAAACCATCCAACACAATCATACCAGAAAAATCCATATAATGTACTAATCTTCTCCATAATTTCTAATATATTATTTCTTTTGCTTACAACAAAGGATTTCTCGATTTCACGACTGTAGAATGAGAGAAGGTATTTTTCATTTCAATATATGGCTATTCCCAACTCGACAACTAACATATGGTTTCATGAAAAAACCATTCATCCCTGCTTACAGTTTGGAAAACAATTGATTAAATTAATACAATACTCCACGATTATTGACCAGTAAAAACTATGTTTATAAATGTTCCGATAATCTCAATTAATGGACGGTCATAGAAAAAGAAAAGTGTGAGGTCCCTGAAAGACAAAAGTAAGTCACTAAGGAATGAGATAACTGAAAATCTCTCTAACATTGCACATTGAGTGTCATTCTGATTAAATCTCACTAATGTATTCTGTCTCATTACATTATATAATCATAACTGTATAACCTGGTGGAGAAATTACTGAAAAGAACTGTTCACTCTAAATATCTGATCAGGAATTATTACCGGCTAAAGAACGACTGAAAACCAAGGACTACTAGAGAGCTGTTTCATCCTAGGTCAGGTCTTTTCACCAGTACTCATTCATAACCTCTTCAGGGATCAAACCCAGGGCCCTCGGATTATGAGGCCAGCTCGTTGATAATCCAGCCATTGGACCGAAATCAAATTATTATTATTATTAATTTTCTTCTGAAAATAAATAATTTTTAAAAAACCATGATTCTCGATTACTTCGTCGCCAAGGTAATACCATCAAAATCATACACCATTTAGGTTTATGAAAATATTGAGTGTGATTTTGATACTTCTCATAACCCTTGTTTAAAAGATATCGTAATAAAAAATTAGTTATTATTTTAAAGTGTATTAAATTTCCTAAAAGTCGTGAATTTTGAAACGAAACATAATACATATTCAATAAAAAAAGTAAAATGGCGGTTGCGGAAAAGAAAATTCTCTTTTCGACAAGATCACCAACTAGGCTGTCATTCGTGTATTTAAATAAATGGGTGAGAAAGTTATAAAACTATATCCGGTCAAAGGTCAAATTAACAAAATTACAAAGTGTAATAAACAGGAAAATAGGATAAAAGGCAACTGTAAAATAGGTACTAGTGCCATTCTAGAACAACTTCAGGTCAAAGGTCAAATTAATAAAACTTCAAAGTGTAATAATCAGGAAGATCGGGTAGAAAAGACATGGTAATATCATAACTACTG